CGGCCTCCCAAAGTGCTGGGATTACAGGCTTAAGCCACCATGCCCGGCCCATTCACTTGCTCTTCTATCATTCACATGTTTAAAACCCTACCAGAGTTCTGATGTAGTGTAAGGATACTTTGTCATATGATGCACATAATCTGTTTTCATAACTAATTTATTCCTTTAATAGATTCAGTATTTTCTGTGTGTGAATGATAAAATAATTTGCCTTGACCATAACAGCATCTGTGTCACCCTGAGGGGTCACTCCAGGTGGGCTCCAATGGAAACAGGTTTAAGGACTATGGCAGAATCTGCCAATTTTCCTCAGCATCCTTTTTCTCCTTTATCCTTTTAGTCATTGATACTCACTCACTGCTCACCCTACACTCCATCCCTACTCCATGGCAATTTTCAATTGCAAGTAGAAGCTTCCAGGCTCCCTTGCAGCTAGGTGTGGCTGTGTTTGGGCCAATGGTAATAAGTGGAGGTGACATTGCCTCCAGTCGTGTGGCCTCCACTTCCTCTCTCATCCCCTTCTCCCATCTAGGATGGAATGTAGAGGTGGTGGTGGTGGTGGTGAGCTGGATAGCTTAGACCATGCTGGGGCAGCCCCCAAGATCTTGCTACTCTGCCTACGGTCTAAGGAACTGCAACATCAGCACCCCCTGGGAGCTGGTTAGAAATGCGGAATCTGTGGCCCCACACCAGACCTCCTGGATCAGATTTCCCAGTTTACCAAGAGGCCCAAGTGATTTGCATGCACTCAAGCTTGGGATGCACTGACTTGAAGGATGAAAATAAACAAGATAGAAGAAAACTGTGTTCCCTATTGACTTCATAGCTCAGGGTTGCCCTCCCTCCCCTCTTAGACCATTTACCTCTGAACTGTTTGGTAAGAGATAAACTTCTATTCTATGTAGGCCACCATAACTTGGAAGTCCCTTTCCTATATTGGCTAAACCATACCCTAACTAATATAAGAACAAAAATCATTTTCAGGAAATAAACCTCCTCCATTTTTTTTAAGTCAAAGGCTGAGCCACTTGCCAACTGAACTTACTTAGCAATGCAAGAATTCCTCCAAGAATCCCCAGGATGGCAGGAACTTGCAATCCTGCTCCAACATACGGTGCCCTTTCACAGACGCTGGCGGTCCCTTCACAGTCACACACGTGAACCTCTAAGGTGGTCACTTGGTCTTTATTCTGGTTATCCATGAGCTTGAGATGGATTTTGTACTCGCCCACCTCTAAGTGTATCTTTGGCTTCAAAATGAGAGATTCTTGGGCTGGGGAAAGCAATAAAAAGAAATAATGAGACCAGGAGAGAGAGAGAGAGAAAAAAAAAAGCTCATTCCAGAATAAAATTGTTAGTGAACTAAAGACATTTGCAAGCCGAGCAAAGAGAGCAGAGCTGCTTGGGTTTTAGTTAGGTATCTCCTTTTTTTTTCTGGCTGTAAAAAGCTTTATTTCCATTTGGTCTAAGGCTTGGGAGAGGGCTCTAGGGCAGGTTAAAAAGCTGCCTAGTGGCTAGAGGGAGAGGCTCAGGCAGAGAGTGGCTCTTCAGATTTACTGGGCTCATTAGGCTCCTGGTTGTGCCTTAGGGTGAACCTTTCAAAGACGTACACGCCCAGCCCGGCCTGGGGGCCGGCCAGCCTGCAGAGGTTGGTCATGTGGTCAACTATCTTCTTGATGAGTTTTCACTTCTTCATCTAGGAAGTGGCTCTCCAGGAAGTCACAGAGATGGAGGTCTGCGTGGTTGAAACCCAGGGCATGAAGATCCAAAAGGGCCTGGTTCAGGTTCTTCTTTAGGGTCAGAGTGACTTCCATTGTGTCCAGGGTTTTACCCCATTCGTCTTTTTTTTTTTTTTGAGACGGTGTTTCGCTCTTGTTACCCAGGCTGGAGTGCAATGGCGCGATCTCGGCTCACCGCAACCTCCGCCTCCTGGGTTCAGGCAATTCTCCTGCCTCAGCCTCCTGAGTAGCTGGGATTACAGGCACGCGCCACCATGCCCAGCTAATTTTTTGTATTTTTAGTAGAGACAGGGTTTCATCATGTTGACCAGGATGGTCTCGATCTCTCGACCTCGTGATCCACCCGCCTCGGCCTCCCAAAGTGCTGGGATTACAAGCTTGAGCCACCGCGCCCGGCCTTTTTTTTTTTTTTTTTTTTTTTTTTAAGGCAGAGTCTCACTTTGTAACCCAGGCTGGAGTGTAATGGCACAATCTCTGTGCACTGCAACCTCCGTCTCCCATGTTCAAGTGATTCTTCTGTATCAGCCTCCTGAGTAGCTGGGATTACAGGCGTACACCACCACACCCGGCTAATTTTTATATTTTTAGTAGAAAGGGGTTTCACCATCTTGGCCAGGCTGGTCTCGAACTCCCAACCTCATGATCCACCCACGTCGACCTCCCAAAGTACTGGGATTACATACGTGAGCCACGGCACCCAGCCTACCCCATTTATCTTGACACGGCTTCTGGATGTCCTGGAGGATAGCATGGCCACCGCACTGGTTTTGCATTTATTTTCAAGACGTACTCAGCACCCTTGCGTTTCTCCTTGGCCAATTTGTGGAATAAGTGGCCCATGCCTTCCAGAGCCACATCATCACAGTGGAAATAGAAGCCCAGAGAGAGGTTGATGTAGGAGGCCCGCAGATGCAAATTGACCAGGTGGTTGACAGTTGCCTCCACCTTGGTGGAATAGTTCTGACAATCTGGGAGCTCATGGTTGGTTGGCAAGAAGGAGCTAACCACAAAAATGGCCTTGTTTGGTCCCAGGAGCGGGAGGTGGCAGAGAAGATAGTCCTGGAGGTTGCAAGTGGAGAGGAGATTGGAGGGTAGTTAGAGGCTGGGAGAGGGAGCCCTGCTTGGGTTTTATATTACTGGGTAGCATACTACAAAGTTAGATACCAGGAAAGGAAAGAGATCTTTGGAGTAAGGCCTCAAAGACAGAATGAACAAGGAAACAAGTATCAACGGAAGGGGTGGCATCTGGAAGTTGAGAAGAGAAATTGAGAGGTGGGGATCTGGGGGAAGGAAAGCATGGCAGTCACAGCACAGTTGCCAAAATAAAGCTCAGGTACTCACTTGGGTCATTGTACTCAATGGTCCAGTTGGCACTCGCCCCATGTGTTAGTTCTGCTGTGAAGGGAGATGTATTGGGAGGAAGGTCTGCATCAATGATATTGATGACTTGAGGCTCTGGATTCCTCTTGCAGAAGTATAAATTTCGAGGTTCTGGTATGGGGGCATTGTCATTCACATCAGACAGGATCAGCAGAAGCGTCCCCGTTCCAGTAGCAACTGGAGAACCTAAGAGAAAATACAGAGGAAATGTTGCAACTCTGGAACAGTCATGGATCCCCACTGCCTTCTACCAGACCCAATCCAGATCTTGTCCTGGCTCTTCAGTGGTCCCTCACCAGGCCCCACTCCACCCCCAGAACCTCCCATCCTACCAATCCCAGGGCACCTCCACTCCCAGGTGGGCAAGCCTCTGACCGTTTTACATAGACAAGCTTATTCCCACTTTGATAACCATTATTCAAGTTATTCCTCACACCAAGGATACCCTCCTCCTTCACATGCCATTATTCATTCATTGAATTTTAACAGCTCCAAGAAGTCCTTATTGCCTGCTTGCTGTCTCCCTAATTCTTTTTCTGCGCTTTCATGCCATTTAAAGTCATTATCAAAGTATTGAGTCTTTTATTTTTATTTTAAGCCGCACTAGAAGTTTAAAATCAAAGGGGATGAGTTGGATCTTTTTGAGTCTCTGCAAATTGGTTTTCAAAATAGATTTGGGAATTCATATACACTTCTTTATTTATTTATTTATTTATTTAAGAGACAGGGTTTCACCACATTGGTCAGGCTGGTCTCGAACTCTGAACCTGAGGTGATCCACCCACCTCGGCCTTCCACAGTGCTGGGATTACAGGCGTGAGCCACCATGACAAACTGTTTTGTTTTGTTTTGTTTTGTTTTTTTTAAGGCAGGGTCTCACTCTGTCACCCAGGCTGGAATGTGGTGGCATGAACAGAGTTTACTGCAGCCTCTACCTCCTGGGCCCAATCTCTCACCTCTGCCTCCCTAGTAGCTGGGACTACAGGCGCATGCCACCATGCTTGGCTAGTTTTTAAACTTTTTTGTAGGGGTGTTGGGGGGGGTCTTGCCATGTTGCCCAGGCTGGTCTTGACCTCCTGGGCTCAAGTGATCCTCCTACCTTGGCCTCCTAAAGTATTGGGATTATAGGCATGAGCCACTGCACCCAGCCCATCCACAGTTCTGTTCGCATTTCTTTTATATCCTGACACAAAACCAAGCATATGGTAGTAGTAAAAAGTGGTACCCAGGGAACTATCATCAAGATTAGTATGTGACAGGGAAACAAAAGAACAGAGGAATCCATCTCAAACCTATAAATAGATATGTCTAGATGGCATGACTAAATTTTTTTTTTTTTTTGAGATGGAGTTTCTTTCTTGTTACCCAGGCTGGAGTGCAATGGTGTGATCTCAGCTCACCACAACCTCCGCCTCCTGGGTTCAGGCAATTCTCCTGCCTCAGCCTCCTGAGTAGCTGGGATTACAGGCATGCACCACCATGCCCAGCTAATTTTTTGTATTTTTACTAGAGACGGGGTTTCACTATATTGACCAGGATGGTCTCGATCTCTTGACCTTGTGATCCACCCGCCTCGGCCTCCCAAAGTGCTGGGATTACAGGCGTGAGCCACCGCGCCCGGGTGACTAAATTTTTAAAACTTTTTTTTTTCTCATGTAAAATGTCTTTTCTTTTTTGAGATGGAGTTTCACTCTTACTGCTCAAGCTGGAGGGTAATGGTATGATCTTGGCTCACTGTAACCTCCAAGCCTCCTGGGTTCAAGAAATTCTTCTGCCTCAGCTTCCCGAGTAGCTGGAATTATAGGCATCCACCGCCATGCCAGGCTAACTTTGTACTTTTAGTAGAGACTGGGTTTCTCCATGTTGGTCAGGCTGTTCTCGAACTCCTGACCTCCGGTGATCCGCCTGCCTCAGCCTCCCAAAGTGCTGGGATTACAGGTGTGAGCCACCATGCCTGGCTAAATTTTTTTAAAAACAATCAGCACAAGTCATTTAACATTAACTTAAAAAGGCCAGGCATGATAACTCACACCTGTAATCCCAGCATTTTGAGATTATGGGCAGTATGTTGCCCAGGCTGGTCCTGAACTCCTGGCCTCAAGCCATCTCCCACCTCAGACCCCCAAAGTTTTGGTATTATAGGTGTGAGCCTAGCACCCAGTCTATAAATGTATTTAAATACACAGAAACAGTCTGGAAGGACCCACACCTAATTCATTTCATCCAGATGGGTATTATCACTTTTCAGGTAAAGGAATTATGGGACACACAAATTAAACAGCAAATCCAAGGTCACATGAGTATTAAGCTTTGGACCTAGAATGTAAACTATTGTTGCCTACTTTCCTTAGGGTTTTGCTATGTTTCCCAGGCTGGTCTTGAACTCCTGGGCTCAAGGGATCCTCTGACCTCAGCCTCTCAAAGTGCTAGGATTACAGGTGTGAGCCACTGTGCCCAGCCCACTTGAATTTTTTGATAATAAGAACGCCTCTGTTTAAGAATAAAAGAAAAAACAAGTCTGGGTGCAGTGGTTCACAATTGTAATCCCAGCACTTTGGAAAGCCAAGATGGGCGGACCACGAGGTCAGGAGTTCGACACCAGCCTATTCAAAACTGTGAAAGCCTGTCTCTACTGAAAATACAAAAATCAGCTGGGCATGTTGGCTGGCGCCTGCAATCCCAGCTAACCGGGAGGCTGAGGCAGGAGAACTGCTCGAACCCGGGAGGCAAAGGTTGCAATGAGCTGAGATCGTGCCACTGCACTCCCAGTCTGGATGACAGAGCTAGATTCTGTCTCAAAAAAAAATAATAATAAATAAAAATAGGCCAGGCGCGGTGGCTCAAGCCTGTAATCCCAGCACTTTGGGAGGCCGAGGCGGGTGGATCACGAGGTCGAGAGATTGAGGCCATCCTGGTCAACATGGTGAAACCCCGTCTCTACTAAAGACACAAAAGTTAGCTGGGCATGGTGGTGCGTGCCTGTAATCCCAGCTACTCAGGAGACTGAGGCAGGAGAACTGCCTGAACCCAGGAGGTGGAGGTTGCGGTGAGCCGAGATCGCGCCATTGCACTCCAGCCTGGGTAACAAGAGCGAAACTCCGTCTCAAAAAATAAATAAATAAATAAATAAAAATAAAATAAATAAATAAATAAAAGAATCATCTTTTGCAGCAACAGGGATGAAACTGGAAGCCATTATCTCAAGTGAAACAGTTAGACATACAAGGAGAAATACTGCATGTTCTCACTTAGAGGTGTGTACACATGGATGTAGACTGTGGAGATAGACAATGGCAGCTGGGAAGGGTGAGGGTGGGAGGGAGTTGATGATGAGCAATTACTTAATGGGTACAATGCATGTTATTTAGGTGATGGATACCCTGAAAGACATGGTTTTAACACTATACATCTCTGCATGTAACAAAATTACCCTTATACTCCATACCTTTATACAAATCAATCCAACAAACAAAAAGGATAAAAGAAAAAGAATGAGGGGCAAGGAAGTGAACTAGCCAGGAAGGTGAGGCAGCAAAGGCCCAGATGGGGCCCCCTTACCGTTGTCTGTAGCTATGATGAGGGCTGTGTATGTGCTGTTCTTCACATGCTCAGAGTTCTCCCTGTCCAGCTCAGCCCGAGTGGAAATGGCACCAGTGTCCGGATTAATCTCCAGCCAATTGGCAGTGTCTCTCCAAATCCGATACCTGAATAGGCACAAGGTCTGGCTTTTAGAATAGGACTAGCAAACAGCATGAAGCTGAAAATGGCTTAAGCTCTTCTTCAGTTATCTGATTACTTCTAATGTTTTTATTTTGAAAACCAACAATACAACAGACAAGTTACCAGAATAGTATGATGACCATCCATGGACTCTTCACCTAGGTTTACTCATTGTTAATATTTTGCCACATCTGCTCTCTCTCTATATTGACAAACACCTACATAATTTCTTGTTTTGCTGAACCATTTGCAAATAAATTGCAGAAGTCATGTTCCTTTACTTATAAATACCAGGGTGTGATCTCCTAAGAACAAACGCATTCTCTTATATAACCTCAACTTGATTTTCAATTTTAGGCAATAAAACTTTGATAGAATACTATTGTCAACTATATAGTGTATATTCAAATTGTCAGATTTTCCAGAAATGTCCTTTACAGCAACCTTGCACCCTTCTGGATTCAGGATCCAATATGGCCTTTAGTTGGCATGGTTCTTCCTTAGGTCTTTCTTTTTTTTTTTTGAAACTGACATTTTTTAAATGTGCTGGCCAGTTGTTTTGTAGAATGCCCCTTAGTTTGAGTTTGTTTGATTATTCCTCATAATTTAGATTTAGATCATCCATTTCAGAGGTTGGTGGTGGGGACAAGAAACTACAGAGGTGGCCGGGCGCGGTGGCTCATGCCTGTAATCCCAGCACTTTGGGAGGCTGAGGCGGGTGGATCACGAGGTCAAGAGATCGAGACCATCCTGGTCAACATGGTGAAACCCCATCTCTACTAAAAATACAAAAAAATTAGCTGGGCATGGTGGTGCGTGCCTGTAATCCCAGCTACTCAGGAGGCTGAGACAGGAGAATTGGCTGAAGCCAGGAGGCGGAGGTTGCGGTGAGCCAAGACCGTGCCATTGCACTCCAGCCTGGGTAACGAGCAAAACTCTGTCTCAAAAAAAAAGAAACCCCCCCCCCCAAAAAAAAAAGAAATGAAACTACAGAGGTGATGCTGTAGCCTCCCAGCGCAGGACACTGGGAGGCATATGATGTCTGTCTGTGCTTTTACTGATGATGTTCACTTTGATCACTTGGATAAGGGAAAGGCCACCAGATTTCTTCATAGCAAAGGTGCCTTTTTTCACTATATGATACATCTATAATCTGCAGGTAGATAATATGAGAATATGTTGTTCAGCAACTTTCACACAATGGATTTAGCATCTATGGGTGATTCTTGCTGAAGCAATGATTATTATAATCCTTATTTACTTTTAAAAGCAGACTCCTCCAGACCAGCTTCCCCCAAACAATATAGTAGTTTGTAACTGGTGGCAACATGCCACCTCCTCTCCTGCCATGAACATCTGGAGATGCAGGTTGCCCTGTTGACTTGTGGGTGGGCTGTACTATTGGCATTTAATGGGAGGTACAGGGAGGCTAATAGAGATCTACTGCTCAGTCATTTACTGGGGTCATGGAAAGGCTCTGACAGGAAAACTAAGAAATCAGAGGAGGAAAGGGCTCTGAGAACTTGTAGGCTTGGCCTCACTTCTTTGGAAGTGCAAAGCAATGAATTACATAAAGTGCTCTTTGTTACAGGTCTAAGGGCCTCTGCAAACAAACACTAAAGACCTGGTCCCGGAATTTGCCCAGGAGATGCTTTGAACTATCTATTTCACTACTGCAAGCTTTCAACCCAGCCTGGAAACTGTACAATTCAGGGTTTCATCACTGAACCAAATCCTACATTGTTGTCTTTGATTTTTCACTATTCTTTTAAACTTCAATTAAAACACACCTTGTCAGGCCTTACAGTTTGGAGCATGTAGAAATAGCCTCTAGATTATGAGGAATCCATTGGCTACATATAGAAAATGAGAGTAATTTTTTGTTTCTTACTTTGGGAGGTGGGGAGATCACTTGAGGTCAGGAACTCAAAACCAGACTGGCCAATATGGTGAAACTCTGTCTCTACTAAAAATACAAAAATTACCCGGGCATGGTGGTGGCAGGCACCTGTAATCCTATTTGGGAGGCTGAGGCCCAAGAATTGCTTGAACCCAGGAAGCGGAGGCTGCAGTAAGCAGAGATCATGCCACTGAACTCTAGCCTGGGCAACAAAGCAAGACTCCAAACTCAAAAAACAAACAAGCAAGCAAAAAAACACACACACCACAATACTGTGTATGCAAAGTAAAATTGCATTTCTACCATACTACAAGAGCTTAAAGAGAGGCAGCACATCAGACCAAGAATAGCTATCTACGGAGGGAAAGGGAAAAGGTGAAAGCTGCACAGATAAAGGGAATAAAAAAATAAATTTAGCGCCAGGCAGCGGTGGCTCAAGCCTGTAATCCCAGCACTTTGGGAGGCCGAGGCGGGTGGATCACGAGGTCAAGAGATCGAGACCATCCTGGTCAACATGGTGAAACTCCGTCTCTACTAAAAATACAAAAAATTAGCTGGGCATGGTGGTGCGTGCCTGTAATCCCAGCTACTCAGGAGGCTGAGGCAGGAGAATTGCCTGAACCCGGGAGGCGGAGGTTGCGGTGAGCCGAGATCGCGCCATTGCACTCCAGCCTGGGCAACAAGAGCGAAACTCCGTCTCAAAAATAAATAAATAAATAAATAAATAAATAAATAAACAAATAAATTTAGCAAGACAATGGTCTTGTACAGATAAATGACAAAATGCCATGAACTATATTTATATATAAAAATTCACACACACACACACACACACACACACACACACACACACACATCCAGTTGCTGTAAGTCAGTTGGAAAAATCCTGGCCAGACGCTGTGGCTCAGACCTGTAATCCCAGCCCTCTGGGAGGCTGAGGAGAGTGGATCACGAGGTCAGGAGTTCAAGACTAGCCTAGCCAACATGGTGAAGCCCCATCACTTCAACCCTGGAGGCAGAGGTTGCAGTGAACCAAGATCGTGCCACTGCACTCCAGTCTGGGAAACAGAGCAAGACTCCATCTCAAAAAAAAAAAAAAAAAAGGAAAAAGAAAAATCCTCACACTTACGTTATTTTCTGTTCCATAAATTTGTCTGGCTCCCGGGCAGTGTAGGATGTGATTTCCTGGCCCACACCAAAGTCCTCAGACACTGTCACTTTCTTTTCAAGAGGCACAAAGATGGGGGCTTCATTCACATCCACCACATCCACGATGACAGTAGCTGTGGAGGTGGTGAGAGAGACCTCAAATGGGGCCACGTTTGTCACTGCCACATGTAGAATGTACTGTTGTTTGGCCTCAAAATCCAAGCCCTAGAGAGGAAAAACAATGAAGTTAAAAACAAAACAAAACATTTTGTATTAGTAAAAAAAAAAAATTAAATCCTTAACTGTTGCTTTTGGGAATATATTAGGTTGTTGTAAAAGTAATTGTGGTTTCTGCCCTCCCTCCTTCCCTCCTTCCCTCTCTCCCTCCCTCCCTTCCTTTCCTTTCCCCCTTCCTTCCCTTCCTCCCTTCCTCCCTTTCTCCCTTCCTCTCTTCCTCTCTTTCTTTCTTTGCGACGAAGTTTCGCTCTTGTTGCCCAGGCTGGAGTGCAATGGTGCGATCTCAGCTCACTGCAAACTCTGCCTGCAGGGTTCAAGAGATTCTCCTGCCTCAGCCTCTCGAGTAGCTGGGATTATAGGCATGCTCCACCATGCCTGGATAATTTTGTATTTTTAGTAGAGATGGGGTTTCTCCATGTTGGTCAGGCTGGCCTCCAACTCCTGGTCCTCAGGTGATCCACCTGCCTCAGCCTCCCAAAGGGCTGGGATTACAAGCGTGAGTCACTGCGCCCAGCCTCTGCCATTACTTTAAAAGGCAAAACCCACAGTTATTTACCAGGACTTCTCAAATCTGTTCACCTGTTCGAGAGGAAGTAAAAGCTGTGGGGCTGTTCTAGGTATCCATTAATTCTTTGAGTCACCTCAACAAGTAATACACCCAATTCTTGGTTTTCATGTCTCTTTCCTTTTTTTTTTTTTTTTCTGAGATGGAATTTTTGCTCTTGTTGCCCAGGCTGGAGTGCAATGGCACAATCTTATCTAACTGCAACCTCCGCCTCCCAGGTTAAAGCAATTCTCTTGCCTCAGCCTCCCTAGTAGCTGGGATTACAGGCATGTGCCACCATATCCAGCTAATTTTTGGTATTTTTAGTAGAGACGGGGTTTCACCATGTTGGCCAGGCTGGTCTCGAACTCCTGACCTCAGGTGATCCACCAGGCTTGGACTCCCGAAGTGCTGGAATTACAGGTGTGAGCCATCATGCTCAGCCTATTTTTTTAAAGAGATGGAGTCTTGTTCTATAACCCAGATTGGAGCACAGTGGCATGATCATAGCTCAGTGTAACTTCAACCTCCTGGCTCAGCGAGCCTCCTACTGCCATGCACTAAGTTTCTAGGACATCTTTCAAAAACAACCATATCTGCCCCGCTTCTAAAATAATCCATCTTAAGAGCAGAGACCAGCAATTCATTTTCCCTCTCATTGCAAAATGAAAAGGGCTAAGGGAAGGAGAATGTTTCTGGGAAAGAGCCCATTAAAGCAGACAATATTTCTTTTTCAATTTCAGGATGCTGTGTAAGAGCTTCTTGATTTCTTTTCTTTTCTTTTTTTTCCAGATGGGCTGGAGTGCAGTGGTGCTATCTTGGCTCACTACAACTTCTGTCTCCCGGGCTCAAGTGATTCTCTTGCTTCAGTCTCCTGAGCAGCTGGGATCACAGGCATGCACCACCAACCCTGGCTAATTTTTGTATTTTTGGTAGAGACAGGGTTTCACCATGTTGTCCAGGCTGGTCTCAAACTCCTGACCTCAGGTGATCTGCTTGCCTCAGCTTCCCAAAGTGCTGGGATTACAGGCGTGAGCCACCATGTCCCACCTTAGCTTCTTGATTTCTTACATGAGCAAGAAGAACCACTGCAAACCCCACACGGTCCACTAGAATCTAGGAAAGTCACCTGTCCCTCTGCCAATGCGAATCTACTTCTGAGAAGATACCAGGGAACAAGGGCATGAACAGCTGTGAGGATGTCAGTTTCTGCATCTTGCCAGGTACCATACAAACCTTTGCTGTTTTCAAAATGCCATCATTGGTCGCTGGATTTGTGGTGACGACAAATTGCCCCTCATTATCATTCAATATGGTGTATACAGCCTCCCACGCTGGAGTGTTGGGGGCGTCAGCGTCAGTCACTTTCAGTGTGGTGATTTCGAAGTTAGCCTCGTTCTCGGGCACCTGACCCTGGTACTGCAGAGCAAAGAGATGGGTCATTTACAACATACCAAGAGTGCTAGTGGAGCCAGGTTTCAGGGGATTAAAGGAACCCTCTTTTGTTGTTTTTTTGAGACAGGATATCACTATCACCAGGCTGGAGTGCTAGTGGCGCGATCATGGCTCACTATTGCCTCAACTTCCTGGGCTCAAGCAATTCTCCCATCTAAGCCTTCAGAGTAGCTGGGACCACAAGCATGCACCACCATACCTGGCTAACTGAAAGCAAGCTTCAAGAACAAGATGATGACAAGGAGAGGCCAGGGCATGGGCACATTGGAGTGCAGTGGCACAATCTCGGCTCACGGCAGCCTCTGCCTCTTGGGTTCAAGCGATTCTCATGCCTCAGCCTCCTGAGTAGCTGGGATTACAAGCACATGCCACCATGTCTAACTGATTTTTGTATTTTTGGTAGAGACGGGATTTTGCCATGATGGCCAGGCTGGTCTCGAATTCCATTTTCAAGGGATCCACTAGCTTTGGCCTCCCAATGTGCTGGGGTTTCAGGTGTGAGCCACCACTTCTGGCCATAATGCAGGATTATTTAAACTTCCCCTACCTGGCTGTCAATACCTTCACCTGGAATGTGTATAATATCCTTGGCATTCAATAATTCTCATGTCTTCCTAGCTATACTAGAAACACCATGAGATGGAATCTTCATTTGCTTTCTTTTTGATGGTACCTCCAGTGTCTCATCAGTGCCTAATATAAACTTAGAAAATATTTGTTCAATGAAGAAATGAAACCCAGTAAAATTTTCTTTAAAAATGTATAGTATGAAGATATGAAATCAGTAGGTGCTTTTTGCAACTTTACAATCTTGTGCCAATTGGCCCCACACCAAGGGTGGAAAAAAGATGCTAACGACAACTGCCACCCCAAGATGATTGCTTTTCAGTTTAAAGTTAACATTCACTAGTCCGGAGAGAGTTTTCAAAGACTTTGCCCATGAGCAGTGGTGAAACTTAGTTCACAAAAAACAGAAGGCCTTTCTTTGGAAACCCTTTAAGGAGTTGCAGAATTACCGTGGTGGGACTGAAGATCGGAGGGTTATCGTTGGCATCGGTGACTGTGATCACAGCTGTTGCTGTTGTGCTTAACCCAACTCCTTGAAGGTCAGCAGCCTGAACCACCAGGGTATATGTAGGGAAAGTCTGCAGAGAGATCAACACAACCAAGTCAGGGCCAGGACCACTAGCCACCTCTGGCCCAGCTTGGCCCAACACATGGAACCAGAATATTTAACCATCTGCTTCATGCCATTCTGCCTGTCTTCTAGGCACAGAACCTCTGGGCAGAGGCTCAGATGCAAAGTTCAGACCATCACCATATTAACTGGCAACTGGCCTAGGAAGATTTTGCATTGTCCACGGGATTGAGCGAATACACATTTGTCCTTCACACCCTCTGGATCCTCCTGACCCCTGACCTCTCGGTCCAGCCCGGTGGTGAGCACACTGATGACTCCTGTGTTCGTATTAATTGTGAACATCTTTTCATAAGGCAGCTCAGGCGCTTGGCTGAGGATGGTGTAAGCGATGGCAGCATTGTAGGTGTGCACATCATCGTCTGCGTCTGTGGCTGAGACCTCCATCACGGAGGTTCCTGGAAGAGTTCATGGAGAGGACGGTTTAGACAAGCTGCACTTTGGGGACCTGGTCAGTGCTGCTTAATCCAACTTCTGCCCTGAGGGATAAAGGAGGGGACCTCGGGTGGTACCATGTCAGAGTTCCCCTGTTCTCTAATTCCTAGAATTCTTACCAAAGTGCTAGGGAAGGAAGAAAGCTCAAATGGGGCTGTGTGCAGAGGACTGGACTTTCCCAACCTATTTTGGGTGAAGGAAGAGAATGGGGGAGAAATAACCTTAAACTCATTTTCCTCTGTCTCTTATACTGAGTGAATGGCATGTAAAGTAAGAAAAACACCAACGTTTTCCACAATCGCCTACTCAGCTGTATCTTTATAAAGAGAATGATCATTGGAGATCATTGTCTTCAAGGTGGAAGAAAACGTTTATAATACATGTCACTGATAAAGGACTAGTACCTACAACATCTAAATAACCTTTTTTTTTTTTTTTTTTTTTTTTTTTGACACAGGGTCTTACTCTGCTTGCCTAGGCTAGAGTGAAATGGCACAATCATGGCTCACTGCAGCCTCAACTTCCTGGGCTCAGGTGATCCTCCCACTTCAGCCTCCCAAATAGCTGGGACTACAGGCTAGTAGTCCCAAGCACACGCCACCACCATGCCTGACTAATTTTTAATATTTTTTGTAGAGACAGGGTCTTGCCATATTGCCCAGGCTGGTCTCAAACTCCTGAGCTCAAGTGATCCACCCAACTCAGCCTCCCAGAGTGCTGGGATTACAGGCAAGACCCTGTCTCTACAAAAAGTAAAAAAAAATTTAGGTGGGCATGGTGGCGCACACCTGTAGTCCTAGCTACTTGGGTAGCTAATGTGGGAAGATTGTTTGAGCCCAGGAGGCTGCAGTCAGCCGAGCTGTGATTGTGCCATTGCACCGCAGCCTGGGTGACAGAGTAAGACTTTCTTTCAAAAAAATAAAATAAAGCCAATAGGAAAAATACAACTAGCCCGAGAGCAAAAAAGAGCAAAAGACATACGTCATAAAGAGGAAACTCAAATGGCTAGTAAAGATACAAGATACTTAGCCTATTAATAATCACAGAAATACAATTCTAAATTGCACGGAGAACAACTCAACATACTCAACAAATTAGCAGAAGCTAAAAAGTCTAACAGTTACTGGTGGGAGAATAAATTGGTTCATCCTGGAAAATAGACTGTCATCATTTAGCAGAGTGCGTGCATATCCTACAAATGAGCTCTTCACTATTAAGGATACATACCTTAGAGAAATTCTTGTGTATTTGCACTGAGACTTATTTAGGAATGTTCTAAGGACACCGTTCATAATAGCAAGAAACAGAAACAATATCAATTTCTATCAACAGTGGAATGGATAAACAGTTTTACACAAATATTAAAATAATCATGCAAGGGAATACTATATAGCAATGAGAATAAATGAATGACAATATCATGTGAATTGTATCACCTTGGCTTTCTTCTAGAGTTTTTGTAGTTTTGGGTTTTACACTTAAGTCTTTAATCCATCTTGAGTTGATTTTTGTATATGGTTTAAGAAAGGGACCTAGTTCAGTTTTCTGCATATGGCTAGCCAGTTCTCCCAACACTGCTCTGGCAGACCACACAGAAGCACCCTATGTCTATAAAGCTGAATGAAAGAAGTAAATTACAGAAATATATGTATAGCGTGAGTCTGTAATAAACTTTGAAACAGGTGTAAATACACAAATGGTAATAGATAAAGAAAAGAAAGGGAATGATTACCACAAAAGTCAGAGTGTGGTTATCTTTATGGAGGAGAGAAAATAATGTGATCAAGGAGGATTGTTTAGGGCTTTAAGGCATTGGCAAAGATCTGTTCCTTAATTAGGAAGGTTGTTCTTACCCAGGTATAGCTCATGCCTATAATCTTAGCAGCTTGTGGGGCTGAGGTGGGAGGACTACTTGAGGCCAGGAGTTTGAGAGTAGCTTCGACAACAAAGCAAGATCCTGTCTCTATTAAAAAAATTTATTTATTTTTTTTTTTTTTGAGACAGAGTCTTGCTCTGCCATCCTGACTAAAGTATAGCGGTGCAATCTTGGCTCACTACAATATCTACCTCCCCAATTCAAGTGATTCTCATGTCTCAGCCTCCCAAGTAGCTGGGATTACAGGTGCCTGCCACCACACCTGGCTAATTTTTGGATTTTAGTAGAGATGGGGATTTTACCATGTTGGCCAGGCTGGTCTCGAACTCCTGACCTCAGGTGATCTGCCCGCCTTGGCCTCCCAAAGAGCTGGGATTTTAGGCATGAGCCACCATGCCCAGCCTAAAAAAATTTTTTTTTAATAATAAAAAAGGAAGATTGTTCTTAAACTGTCCCTATTTTATATGTTTCCATAGGTAGAATGCTATACACATGCAGATGACACAACAATGGTTTCCCCAGAAGCTCTGTCCATAGGAAGGGTTAGCTTTAGTTATCCAGCATTTGGGATTGGACAACACTTTGGGGTCCAAAGAACGTAAGAGCCTCTGGGTATTCAGATTCTCATTAGTGGATATACCTGGAAGAGCGCCTTCCATGACAGACCCGTGAAAGACTTCCTGGGTGAACTCGGGCCTGTTGTCATTCTGATCGGTCACGGTTATCACAATCTCCATTGGGTCCTCAATAGCATTCCCATTGGATGACACAGCATGAGAGAAGAGCTGAAAGAACCAAGTGAGGGTAACTTGAGTTCTGATTAGGAAGAAAACGTGGGAGAAGGGGCCCAGCCAGAGCAGAGTATGCTCTCCCTGCCGCCACACCTTCCTGCTCTCCAAGACCCCCAGCGGGTGACTTTTCTCACACATATGCTGCTGCTGCTGCTTCAATGACAAGGTAAGACCCATGGGCTGAGGCCGGGCGCGGTGGTGGCTCAAGCCTGTAATCCCAGCACTTTGGGAGGCCGAGACGGGTGGATCATGAGGTCAAGAGACCGAGACCATCCTAGTCAACATGGTGAAACTCTGTCTCTACTAAAAAATACAAAAAATTAGCTGGGCATGGTGGCGCGTGCCTGTAATCCCAGCTACTCAGGAGGCTGAGGCAGAAGAATTGCCTGAACCCAGGAGGCGGAGGCTGCGGTGAGCCGAGATCGCACCATTGCACTCCAGCCTGGGTAACAAGAGCGAAACTCCTTCTCAAAAAAAAAAAAAGACCCATGGGCTGGAGAACACCCCCACTGCCTCAGACCTCCCATTTCCAGGGCATCAGGCCTAGAGACAAAGGTGGGGGCCTGAAAACCTCTTATTCCAAGCAGGGTGAACTTTGCTCTGGTCCTTCTAGTCTAGCATTTCCCCCAGATGTTTCTGAATTTGGCATCAATATATAACTTCCTGGTCAGGCATGGTGGCTCATGTAATCTCAGCACTTTAGGAGGCTGAGGTGGGCAGCTTGCTTGAGCTCAAGATTTCAAGACTAGCCTGGGCAACATAGCAAGATCTTGTTTCTACAAAAAATACAAAAATCAGCTAGGGGTGGTGGTATGCGCCTTCAGTCTCAGCTACTCAGGAGGATGAGGTGGGAGTGTCACTTGGGCCCAGAAGGTCCAGGCTGCAGTGAGCTATGACTGCACCACTGCCCTCCAGCCTGAGTGGCATAGGTAGACCCTGTCTCAAAAAAAAAAAAAAAAAAAAAAAAAAAAATCCAAAACAAAAACAGAAACAAACAAAAAAATGACCTCTTGGCTTCCCTAAGCTCTTATTGCTGCCAAGCCCAAGAAATGGGTTTTGCTCCTTTATATCATCACTATCTTCTCCCTTTAGGTCAGGGACTTCTAGCCCCAAGAACAGGGTGACATCTTGGGTCTAAATTTGAGCTGGATATATGAGGATGCATGACGATTCTCCTTCCTTTTTTCTTGACAAGGAGAAAAATTAACAACTGTTCCACATTCTCCTGTCATTTCTCCTTAGCAACAGGTCAAGAGGTGTCGAATTAATCTCGTCATGTGTCCAGAGCCTGGACACAGCATGGGTTGGCCAAAAAATCCTGGACAGATGTTACCGCAGTGTCAACAAACGTCAAAGAGATACTTACAGTGTATGTGGCAATTTGTTCTCTATCCAAAGGCTCTGTCACCTTCAGCCATCCTGTTTCTCTTTCAATAATAAAGACACCAACAGGGGGTGTGTCAGCTCCTTGGCCAGTGATGCTGTAGAAAACCCTGGCTTCTTTGTCTTTGTTGGATTTGATCTGAAGATAAAATGAAAGAAAAAGAATTAGTAAATAAGGATCCCAACACGGGGTCTTTTCCTTTTCTCTCTTCGATACTTCTCTGCCAAATCCCTCCCAGAGAAATAGAGAACTTCTTTCTCCACCTGAACCAGGTTTTTAGGAAATGGGCCTTTTTCATTTTCTGGGCAGCTGATGGGAGGGATAACCCAGTCTCTCTTCTGTCTTCTGAGGCCATGAGAGGAGTCGGGAAATGTGAGCACTTCCACATGGGATCCGGGAACAGATTCCTAAAAGGAAAGAAGATGAGGAACAAGATGAGACAATTCAGGAGAGACAGTACAGGTCTAATAGTCCAATCTAGCCACACAGCATCCCAGCCTTCTGTGGGTAGTGTACAATTTTAACTCAGTGATACAGTCTCTTATCAATGACAAATTATATATATATCCACCAAAATGACCAACCAAAACAAAAACCAATGAACCCCTCTACTACATCATAAAGACTGTATTCTCAGCCGGGCACAGTGGCTCAAGCCTGTAATCCCAACACTTTGGGAGGCCGAGGCGTGTAGATCACGAGGTCGAGAGATCGAGACCATCCTGGTCAACATGGTGAAACCCCGTCTCTACTAAAAATACAAAACATTAGCTGGGTGTGGTGGTGCGTGCCTGTAATCCCAGCTACTCAGGAGGCTGAGGCAGGAGAATTGCCTGAACCCAGGAGGCGGAGGTTGCGGTGAGCCGAGATCGCGCCATTGCACTCCAGCCTGGGTAACGAGCAAAACTCCGTCTCAAAAAAAAAGACTGTATTCTCTTTTTATCCTTCTTAGTATCCAGAGCTCAAGTAATCATTATGTACACATGAGTGTTGGTTTCAGGGTTTGATATTATAATTTACAAGTTGTTTCAAGCATATATAATTGTCATTTTTGAGACAAGGTTTGGCTCTATCACTGAGGCTAGGGTGCAGTGGTAAGATCTTGCTCACTGCAACCTCCACCTCCCAGGCTCAAACCATCCTCCCATCTCAGCCTCCTGAGTAGCTGGGACTATAGGTGCACACCACCATGCCCGACTAAATTATGTATTTTTAGTAGATGTGGGGCTTTGCCAAGTTACCGAGGCTGGTCTTGAACTTGTCAGCTCAAGCACCTCGGCCTCCCAAAGTGCTGGGATTACAGGCATGAGCTACCACACTCAGCCCATAATGTGATTTTTAATAGCAACATTATATTCTGATGATTAATTATCAGAGCTTATTCAACAACTGAATATTTGAGTTTTCAATGTTTTCCTTTTTCTTTTCTTTTTTTTAAATAGAGACAGGATCTTGTTCTGTCACCCAGGCTGGAGTGCAGTGAAGTGATCAAAGCTCACTGTAGCACTGAATTCCTGAGCTCAGGTGATCCTCTGACCTCAGCCTCCCAAGTAGTTGGAACTACAGGCATGCAACACAATGTGTGCCTAATTTTTTAATTTTTTAAAATTTTTGTAGAGGCAGGGTGTCACTGTCTTGCCCAGACTGGTCTTGAACACCTGGGCTCAAGCAATTCTCCCACTTTGGCTTCCCAATTTGCTGGTATTACAGGTGTATACCACTGCACCTGGCCTCTTTTATGTTTTTCCTGGGGACATAGGTCCCCAAAGTGGAATTATCAGCCAAAACAAGTACATTTTGAGAACTGGTACTAAGAACTACTTTGTGATCAATACAAATATCTTAATCTCATTGTATCATTATGACTATATGGTTTCCATTTGTTGTAACAGAAGCTGTTGGATGGGAGCCAAAAACACCCTTTGAGACTTGTATTGAACAGTTTTCATGTGCAGTAAAGATAACTTTATGCACATGCAGGGAAATAAGAGAGTTGAAAATGGAAGGAAAATATTTGCCAAATTGTTTAAGTGTTTCAAAGTGATTACTGGTAACACAGTAAAGTTTTCAGGGGAAAATTCCATTTCTCACCCTCCACATAAAAACTCACAGTCACTTATCACTGCTTGCCAAGTTTAAGTTCAGCTATATTTTCTGGCTTTTTTTCTGCACCAGATACATGTGAGATGTGACCAAGTATCATCACAGAACCCTTCCCTGATGCTGCACAATGCCCACATGTGCACACGTGCACATACGCCTACGCCCTCTGCCCTCTACATCCTATGTGTCTCCTAGAGGCAGCCCAGCCTGCACCAAGGGCAGGCTCTGGAGCTAGGCTGCCTGGCTTTGAAACCTCACAATGGTACCTCCTCGTTCCAGGCAGATATTACTTAACTTCTCTGTATTACAGTTTCCTGATGTCTGAAATGGGGATAATAGTAGAACCTATCTCATAGAATTCTTGGAAGGATTCAATGAGATGCTGATCTTGCACATTTAAAGCATTGAGAATAGTGCCTGAAACATAGTAAGTGCTCAACAAAGGTAGTGATGCAGATGATGGTCAGACTGGTTAGAAAACACTGAGTTATGGTTTTGTTGAGATTTGATGCCAGCACAGGAACAAAATATAAACCTGACCATCAACACTGTATCCTGGGCCAGGCATGGTGGCTCACGTCTATAATCCCAGCACTTTGGGAGGCCGAGGCGGGCAGATCACTTGAGGTCAGGAGTTTGAGATCAGCCTGGTTAACATGGTGAAACCCTGTCTCTACTAACAATACAAAAATTAGCCAGGCTTGGTGGCGGGTACCTGTAATCCCAGCTACTTGAGAGGCTGAGGCAGAAGAATTGTTTGAACCCAGGAGGTGGAAGTTGCAAGGAGCCGAGATCACACCACTGCCCTCCAGCCTGGGAGACAGAGTGAGATTCTGTCTCTAAAAAAATAAAATAAAATTGTCTCTGGATCATAAGAGGCTTCTACACACAGCTGCCTGGCAAGGACTCATGTGCTGAATTTTTTTCATGTGAATAATGGGGTCCCTTGGAGACTTTGAGTCAAGGAGTTATGTTAATATAGTCCTATAGTATTAGATTCCTCATTTTTCTGGTCTAATTATACCAGGGAGAAAAATCAGATCTATCAGAAGGACTATTAAGTTTCAAGAATATGAAGAGTCTTTAGGGAGAAAAGTAGGCTCCAATCTCACAGGCCTTGGCACTTATAACACATTCCACATTTCCAAAGCAGTAAGCAGGACCAACTAGAATATCCCCCAGCGAGACATTTCGGTAGGAAGCACCACGGGAGCAGCTGAGAAACTGGCAAAGGTGATTGGCTTCGGGTAGCAAACCCTAGAAACATTCCTGCCAAGAAACTAGGCAGACAGCCATCCTTCCATTCATGGCCAATCCATCTGTCTATCTGTTCCTGGTGTGGGTCAGACCTAAGGCCAGGCGCTGCAAATACAGTGGGAAAGGGTCTCACGGAGGTTACAGTCTAATGGGGCAAGAGCTGACCACTGGTTCTTCTTCTTCCTTACCAAGACCCTTCCCACTGGAAGCACAAAAAGCAAAGTGATCAGAGAATCCAGCTCTTGTCCAGGCCCAGTAATTCACACCTGTAATCCCAGCATTTTGGGAGGCCAAGGCAAGCGGATCATTTGCGGTCAGGAGTTCGAGACCAGCCTGGCCAACACGGCAAAACCTCATTTCTACTAAAAATATAAAAATTAGCCGGGCATGATGGTGGGCACCTGTAATCTCAACTACTCAGGAGGCTGAGGCAGGAGAATCGCTTGAACCAGGGAGGTGGAGGTTGCAGTGAGTCGCGCCATAAAGCGAAACTCCACCTTAAAAAAAAAAAAAAAAAAAAAAAGAGAGAGAGCGAGAAGAAGAATGCAGCTCTCATTCATTCTTCCCCCAAGAGGGGAGTGGTAAAGACAGCTAATAATGGCTAAGTACACCTTGTGTATTTCTAGCATTTCACATGTATTAATTAATTCCATCCTCACTATTATCTCCATTTTACAGATAAAGAAACTCAAGCACAGACAGGTGATGTAACTCCTCCAGTGTTGCCCAAGTAATAAATGACACGGCTGAGATTCAGTCCCAGACAGTATCCAGGCCTTTCCTACTCTTCCACACTGCCCGGTCCCCACACCCTAAAAGCCCCAGCAAGAATTATTCAGTTAGACCACGAGCTCTCAACTGGGGCTGATCTGTTCTCCCAGGGGCCATTGGCAACATGTGGAGATACTTTTGGTTGTCACAACTGGTGGAAGTGCTACTGGTGTCTAACCAGTTAAGGACAGGCATGCTTGCTAAACATCCTACACAGTGCACAGGAGAACCCCAATAACACAAAATCACCCAGCCCAAAAGTTCAACAGTAGCAAGGCTGAGAAACCTAGATTAGACAGCAGACTAAAACAATAGTGAACTTCTCAGAAAAATGCCAACATACATGATGGGGGTGGTGGGGGTGCCCCATTGCCTGCAGCGTGACTTTGGTGGAAAACTTTCTGTAGGTGGAGTCCCAGGCGTAGACCAGAAAATGGATCTGTGGGTTATGAAGTTGTACAGGCCTTTTCACTGTAATCACACCATCCGTGCCCACTTTGAATCGAGTGTCAACGGAAAAGTAGGCTGTCCTTGGTTGGCCAGTGCAATCTTCAAAACTCACTGCAGGGCAGAAATCAGAGATTAGGAAATTGGACAGATTAAAGACATGAGCATTCCTTCTGCAAAGAGCAAACTTAACTTACCCACCAGAAGCCTCCCACAAAACCAGACACAACAAAAGAAACCATAATCCGGGGGCAGAACAACAAAGCTATTGCCATAATGTTCTTCACAATTATAGGGTGATTTCATTGTGCTCTGATTTCTTTCTCATCTTCTTGTCAATTGACAATATTATCTTGCCTAGAAAGTAACTTCTTGGCCGGGTGTGGGGGCTTATACCTGTAATTCCAGCACTTTGGAAGGCCAAGGCAGGCAGATTACCTGAGGTCAGGAGTTTGAGACCAGCCTGGTCCAACATGGTAAAACCCTGTCTCTACTAAAAATATAAAAATCAGCTGGGTGTGGTGATGGGCATCTGAATTGCAGCTACTCAGGAGGCTGAGGCAGGAGAATCGCTTGAACCCAGGAGGCAGAGGTTTCGATGAGCCAAGATTGCACAACCGCACTCCAGTCCAGGCAACAGAACAAGGTTCCATCTCAAAAAAAAAAGTAACTTATTTTTTTCTTTTTCTTTTTTCTTTTTTTTTTTAAGATGGGGTTTCACCATGTTGGTCAGGCTGGTCTTGAACTCCCGACCTCAAGTGATCTGCCTGCCTTGGCCTCCAAAGTGCTTGGATTACAGGCGTGAGCCACCAAGCCCAGCCTTTTTTTCTTTTTCTTTTGAGACGGAGTCTCACTCTGTTGCTCAGGCAGGAGTGCAGTGACACCGTCTCGGCTCACTGTAACCTCCACCTTCCAGGTTCAAGTGATTCTCCTGCTTCAGCCTCCCAAGTAGCTGGGACTACAGGCATGCACCAACATGCCTGGCTAATTTTTGTATTGTTTTAGTAGAGACAGGGTTTCACTATGTTGGTTAGACTGGTCTCGAACTCCTGACCTTATGATCTGCCCACCTCGGCCTCCCAAAGTGCTGGGATTGCAAGTGTGAGCCACCTCACCTGGCCATAACTTCTCTTTTTCAATAACAACAACAAAAAAGAGGCTGTTCAATCCAATGACTCTTGCCAGTCAGCATGAGAACAGACCACTACAATAACTGAGACTGAAGACCTATTGTGCCCAGAAATTAGTGCCTAATAATAAGATGCTATGGGTAATCTACCTTTAAATAAGGCATTTACATTTAGAACAGCAGTAGCAGATAATGAGAGCGCTAGCATGGAATAATGGTTAAGCATAGATGCTAGACTAAACTACCTGGGTTCAAGTCCCAACTCTGCCACTTATGAGCTCTGTGACTTCAGGCAAGTTACTTAACCTCTCTATGCCTCAGTCTACCTAACTGTAGAATGATGGCAACAATAGTAAATATTATTTTTCTGAGACAGAGTCTCACTCTGTCGCCCAGGCTGCAGTGCAGTGGTGCAATCGTGGATTGTTTTAAGGTACATAGAACAGCACCTTGCACATAACAAGCATTAAATAAAAATTTTAAAAACAAATGCAGCTTTGAGTAATCATTGATTCAGCCCCCATGACTATTCCACAAAAGTCACTGATAAGTCAATCAATAGTTACTGAGTGCTGATTACATGCTTACTGTCTGAAGAACAAAGAGATATTACCTACTTGTAGCATGGGGCACAGAGGAGAAACTGATCAACTGATCACTGTCAGTTTAGAGAGATGGTCAATGGTGAAGGTTTCATAGGAAAGTCTTTAACCTGACCATACAGGGTAGCAAGATAAATGCCAAAGGCAGAAAAGGACTGCTTGGGTGGAGAATGTTATGACCAATGGCTTAGAGACAAAACCACTTAAAGCTCTACACCTATTAAAGTATTAAAACTTTAATAAGTATTAATATTGTCCAGGCACAGTAGCTCATGCCTGTAATCCCAGCACTTTGGGAGGTTGAGGCAGGTGGATCATTTGAGCCTAAGAACTTGAGACTAACCTGAGCTACATAAGGAGACCCCATCCCTTAAATACAAAAAATAAAAATAAAATTAGCTGGGTGTGATGGTGCTGGATACCTGTGGTTCCAGCTACTTGAGAAGATGAGGTGGTAGGATCACCTGAGGCCAGGAGATTGAGGCAGCAGTGAGCCATGATCACACCACTGCACTCAAGCCTGAGGGACAAAGTGAGACCATCTCAAAAAAAAACAAAAACAAAAACAAACAAACAAACAAAAACAAAGGCCAGTTGTGGTGGCTCACACCTGTAATCCCAATACTTTGGGAGGCCATGGTGGGCAGACCACTTAAGGTCAGGAGTTCAAGACCAGCCTAGCCAACACGGTGAAACCCATCTCTACAAAAAATACGAAAAAAAAAAAAAAAATAATAATAATAATAATAGCCAGGCTTGGTGGCAGGCACCTGTAATTCCAGCTACTTGGGAGGCTGAGGCAGGAGAATCTCTTGAACCTGGAAGGTGGAGGTTGCAGTGAGCTGAGATTGCGCCACTTCACTCCAGCCTGGGCAACAGAGTCAGACTCCTTCTCAAAAATAAAATATAAAATAAAATAAAATAAAATAAAGGATTAAAACTTTAAAAAGTATTAATACCCTAAAGCTGGAGAAGCTGTGGTTAAAGTGTCTACACTACACATTAGAATCTCAAAGGACTCATTCAAATAGGTGACCATCAAGCTATATGCCAGACAGTGTTGGACCGTGAGAAGAAAATCGTGATGAAGATAGTTAAGGCTCCCACTCTCACTGGGCTTACACTACTGAGGAAGAAAGGGACAAAGACAGAAACTTGTAATTTCAGGCAGTAAGTAATAGAAAGTAAAAGGAAAGAGGGTGACGTAAGAGTGACAGAGGAGAAAGGAATTTGCTGAAGATGTAACTTATATTGCATGGTGAGGGCAGGCCTTTCTGAGGCAGGGCCACCTGAGCTGGGATCTGAAGGAGCCATCGCAGAAGCCTGGCTCAAAGAGGCTTCCAGGCAGTGGAGAATAGTCGATAAAACCATTCATTCTAGGAAACTCTCAGCTTGGCCTGTTTTCCTCCCTTTTATATAATTGTTTGATGGAATTTCCATTACATCCAAGTGCTCTTTTATAAAAATTCCTGCTGTCCTGACTATTTTACAAGGCTAGACAAGAGGATCAGGTTTCTGCCAGAAAGCCCTGAAGCCATCCCTGACGCCTGGGCAGCAGTTCTCATTTTTTCCACTAGGGGCCACCCTTGCAAACATTTCTGAAGCTAACAGCCCTGCCCATGCCTGAGAAAAATAAGACCACGTTTGGGGGTGAGAGGGGAAGTACCAGATTTTCTCCATTTTGAAGATGAACCTGAGGCTCACAGAGGTTAAGAAATTTACCTGACATCCTGAAACTAGTAAAGGGCAGAGCTGAGACAGGCCCTTAACATGGGTCATAGTCTCATGGTTGGCTCCTCTTCTCTCTGCAGAAACTCTACTAAGGCCTTGGTTTTGTTGTTGGGTTTTGCTGTTGGTTTTGTTTGTTGTTTGTTTGTAGAGATGAGGTCTTGTTATGTTGCCCAGGCTGGTCTTGAATTCCTGGGCTCAACCAATCTTCCCGCCTTGGCCTCCCAAAGTGCTAGGATGACAGGCGTGAGCCACCGTGTTCAGCCAACCCTGGTTATTTTTAAAGGAGGATTCTGCCTCCAAGCTAGGATCCCAAGGCTGGGATTGGAGGCTACCCCATGCAATACCTGGGGTCTGCTACCTGGCAAATAAAGTGAGCAACCAAACCACGAAGAGTTCGTTCACAGGAAGGGAGCTGGGTCCTTCAGAGTCATCCACCTGATCCTCCCTCTCAGTTGAAAAAAAAAAAAAAAATCACCACCAGACCCCACCCCTACCCTGTCAGCTCTTAGACTGGTTCTACAACTTACTTCCCCGGCTTGAAGGGAAGGGTGGGATGAGCAGGGGGCAGCTGTAATAAATGACGGGAAGAACAGAGACAAGGAAAAAGTGCTGGGATTACAGGAGCATGCCACCACAGCCAGCTAATTTTTGTATTTTTAGTAGAGACAGGGTTTCACCATGTTGGTCAGGTTGGTCTTGAACTCCTGACCTTGTGACCTGCCCACCTCAGCCTCCCAAAGTGCTGGGATTACAAGCAGTGAACCACCACACCTGGCCCCTTGTGATGACATTTTCTAAGTTAAAAAGCAATGCAAATAGAGGAGATGACTTATTTCTGTGTATTTGGGTAGACAAGTATTTGCTAACTGAACGGCTGAGCCGTAAGATGATGAAAGAATCAAGAAGAAATGTCAAGTCCTTAAAGGATGGGCAGATACCATCTTTTTAAGTCTAAAATAGGAATTTCTTTTCAAACTAGCAAAACCAGATGCTCTTCAAAGAGCCCTCCTCCACCCCCAGCAGAGGTGATGGGGCAACTGGGTCATCTTTGGGGGCTTGTCACGTAAACAGGGAATGAGGGCTGCAGTGAATTCCTTTATCCTGCCTTCCCAAATCTAGGCAGTGAAAGTTGAGACAAGCATGATTGGACTTGCCAAGGGTGGAGGCCTGAAAAAATGAAAATGGTTTTGCAAATAACTTGATGCAAGGCACTTAACCTGCTTTGGGGCACCTCATCTTAATGGTGCTTAAGCCCTAGCCTTTGAGAAGTGACAGCATAAGTATGACGGGGAGCCCCAACCTGAATTCCAGGTGTTCACAAGACTCATTATGTCCCCACGCAACCTGATCCTCTGGGCTGATTAGAGGAAATTATAGGAAAGACTGAAAGGTTCTCCAGCTCTGGGAAGCCTCTGGGAAGTTCACTGTAACCTTGGCGAGGGCTGGGCTGTCTCTGAGCCCAGAACGTGGGAGGAAAGAAGAGTGGCAAAATGTTCAAACTGGAGGATCAGTATATGGGGATTGGGTATATTTTGAAGTTTTTATGATGAACGGCTAACAAGAATAAAGCTAGCAAGGGTGTAAGTATTCTTTAACCCAGCATGTCCACCTTTCATAAACTTACTGTAAAAACCAAATCCCTATAAAAGGAG